GCTTTTCAGTCCATCGGTCCCAGCGTGCTCTCTATAATGAATGCTTCTCTGGTCTCTGGTCAGGTCCCTGCTTACTTTTAGAACGCTGTAATCCACCCGCTTCTTAAAAAAGTCTTGACCCCTCTCTCCATAGCAGCTTCAGACCCATCTCTAAACTTCCGTTCATCTCCAAGATCTTGGAAAAGGTTGTGGCTAAACAACTCACAGCTGCTCTTGATGAACATAACATCTATGATAGCTTCCAGTCAGGTTTTTGTAGAGCTCATTCTACTGAAACAGCTCTTCTTGGGGTCTCTAATGACCTTCTGACTCACAGTGATGCAGGGGACTGTTCTGTTCTGGTCCTGCTGGACCTGACTGCAGCCTTTGACACTGTTGACCATCACCTGCTACTGGAGAGGCTGAGAGACTGGGTAGGCCTATCAGGAACTGCTCTGGAGTGGTTCTCCTCTTATCTTTCTGAGCGTTCCTTTTCTGTGGCCGTCTCCAAGTTTAGGTCCTCCACCACCTCTCTTACCCATGGTGTCCCACAAGGTTCTGTGCTGGGGCCACTGCTCTTCCTCCTCTATCTGCTTTCTCTTCAGCACATCCTGAGCTCCTTCAAAGGAATCTCCTACCATCTTTACGCAGATGACATCCAACTGTACATCTCCTTTAAGCCCCATGAGATGTCTAAGCTGCAGCTGTTACACACCTGCTTAGACTCTATCAAAACCTGGATGGTTGGGAGCTTTCTTCAGCTGAATGAAGATAAAACTGAGATCCTCATCTGTGCCCCAGACAAGCTGGTTCCCAAAGTCAGAGACTCTCTTGGTCAGCTTGCTTCCCACACCAAACCTTCCGTCAGGAATCTTGGCATGACCTTTGACCCAGCTCTCACCCTGGATTCTCGTGTCAGTTCTCTTGTTCACTTTTCCTTCTTCCATCTCAGGAACATTGCTAAGCTGAGTCCCCTTCTGTCCCACTCTGAACTTGAGACAGTTCTCCACACCTTCATCTCCTCACGCTTAGACTACTGTAACTCTCTTTTCACGTGTCTGAGCAGAACCTCCCTGAACCGTCTACAGGTGGTTCAGAATGCCTGTGCTCAGCTTCTGACCAAGTCCTCCAAACACACCCACATCACCCCGCTTCTCCTCCAGCTTCAATGGCTGCCAGTCAACTTCAGGGTTCATTTCAAGATCCTGGTTCTGGTCTATAGGGCCTTACATGGACAAGCACCATCTTACATTGGTGATCTTCTTAGTCCCTACACCCCCAGCAGGTCCCTGAGGTCCAGTGATCAAAGCCTACTGGTTGTGCAGCACCAGGCTAAAGACGAAAGGTGACGGGTCATTTGCTGCTGTGGCCCCCAGACTCTGGAACTCTCTCCCCCTGAGCCTGAGATCAGTGGACTCAGTGGTCTCCTTTAAAAAGCAGCTGAAGAGTCGTCCAATGTGGCTTTTGTATGACCTTCTTCACCACTCTCCCTTTATTCTGCTCTCCCCACCTATTTCACCTTCCTCAGGATCCACTGATTTCCCTCTTTCCTATTCACTCTCTTTCTTAACAATTTTAATCACTATTGTCTATTTAGTTGCTCATTTAAAATATATTTTTAACCATTTTCTAAATTCTTTTTTATATTTTTACATTTTTTGTTTTTGTGAAGCGCCTCGTGATTTTTATCTTGAGAGACGCTATAGAAAAGATATTTTCTTCTTCTTCTAAATGCAAATACCATGAATTCATGATAAGAGATGAATACATAACATAGACCCAGTCCTGGTTAGCTTCATCGGGAAAGATTTATCTTAAAAATTATTGAGAAAATACAAACTAACTGTGTCAGCTAATACGCCTTTTCTTTTTCAGAATGAACAGGTTTGAGTTGTTTCTGTGCTCCAACACACCTGATTTTAATCACAGGTAATTAACACATCTGCAGAATACGCTGAGGGAACTCGCTTTGAGGCAACTGCTGCTTCATTGGAGAGAGTTGTTGGCTGGATCCCAGTTAAGCCTCTTTTACAGTGAATGTGGAATGCGGCCCCGTTTTCTAAATGGCATCAAAGAAAATTATTGAGTGCAATCAGAGCATCCACTCCGGCTGCGGTGCGGTTTGGATCTGGATGCGGAGCTCTGGAAAGTTTCTGCATGTTTCCCACATGTGGATTGTTATGAAGATAAAGAATCCACATGAGCCAGACACGATGTGAGACGTGGAACAGCGAGGTGCATCTGATAGATACCAAAGTCAGACCGGGTTGTGTTATTTTGGGAGGTTTGTACTGTATTGCTAATGACAGCGATCTCAGTTTACAGTGTATGATATTCATTTGGTGCTGTTGTGGGAGCAGAGATCCAGAGATGTTCAGCACATGAACCACAGTCGGTGTGACTGAGTCCATTCAGAAGCCGTCTGGTAACCACATTCACGTAAAGCAGACGTTAGTGCAGGGGCGCTCAATCCCGGTCCTGGAGGGCTGGCATCCAGCACGTTTTAGTGATTTCTCTGCTCAAACACACTTGATTCACTGGTTGAATCACCTGTGCAGCAGCTCATCAGGCTCGGCAGAAGTCTGTTAATCACCTGCTGATTGAAATCAGGGGTGTTGCAGCAGAGATTAAACTAAAACCTGCCAGTTACCGGCCATCCAGGACCAGGATTCGGCACCCCTGCTTTAGTGTCTGAATGAGAACTGAAGTGGTCTAAGGGTTGAACTGCAGTCTGTTGTCTCCTGCCAAAATGTGAAAGGCATGCAGTGTTGTTTATTATTTAACCTTAACTAATGTTGCAATTAAACTTCCAAGTAGCAAACACATCAAAGTCCTACAACTTAAGAACGGATTCATGTAAAATCTCCTCACTCATTCAACCTGTTTGGTCTGACATTGAGCTAAGTGGAAGATCAGAGTCATTCACAACACAAACTCGGAGTAATTCACCAAATTCGTCCGATGCAAGTTGCTCGTTCATCCAGACTGCAGCGAAGCTGCTTGGGAGGACCTAATGGAGAACATCCCTTCTTGCCAGGGCTATGAGTTAGCTCTGCACCAGCCTTGTAGAAGACAGGCCTGTAAGTGCTAAAGCCTGGTTTATGCTTCTCCGTCAGCTCCGCAAGGGACAGACACGCATGGATTGACGGAAGCGTTTTGCTCTCATACTTCTCCGTCTCCTGGAGAGTGTTGCAAAGCAATTCCCCGCCAGGACAACAGAGGGCGTAGCGCTGTTCTGTGGTATCCTGTCATGTATCGGTCCAAGATCGTGTGTTTATATTGTGTTTTCTGTGTATTTAAGAGACTTTTAACACGGACATATTTGTCTCTCATTCTCCCACCTCTTCATGCGATCCCCACCTCTAAACCCACGTTTCCTGTCATTTCCGTCCACAAATAAAACACTTGCTGCGCATCTTTTCACTCCTCCAGTCACGGGAGAATTAAACGTTCATATTTTTAGAGTTTTTTTCGCGAGGTATTCTTCAAGCTTCTCCGTGTCTGCCGCTTGTTATCCTCGGCTCTCTTTGCAATGGCGGCGCTGTAAACAACAGCGGCATCCTGACCAATCACAAGCTTGCGTAATCCGTCTCGTTTGACGGATGTTTAAAAAAGTGGGCTAGACTCCGTATGTACTTGCGTGCCTGCCGGAGCCCTACGCAAGGACGGATAATGGCGTTGCGTGTCTCCGCACTGACGCAGACGGAGAAGCATAAATCAGGCTTGACTGGTCATGTTTTGCATTTAGCTGAAAACCTTAGTAAATTATTCATTAACCACTGGATGGATATCAACACATCTTAAAAACATTAGATCTACAACAGACTAAGATAAGCAGTCTGCCACTTTTCAGCTGTTGCAACCTCTAAAGCATTAGTTACTAAATGAATTAATGCAGTTAACTTATAGACACTGAGCTATGTGATGGCGGCCAAGAGTCCGTCACAGCAGTAACTCTGACCACAATGCTGGACATAACATGACATTATTTACAGGACATGACTAAAGCAGTCATCACTGATTCCTCCACACATGCTAAACCTCTGGCAGGAAAGACAACATGCCTTTCATGTAAAGCTTGGGTGCAAACATGTTACACACATTTCTGAAAATGCATGACAGCTAAATCTGTAGGTTGCAACAATTTTTCTGAATGCATCATTTTGTCATGGATGCAAACTTATTAAAGAGCCTCTAATCCAAAGAGGTTTGCAAAACCCTTTACAAAACCAGTGTTCATAGATCCAGGATTCGTGCAACTGCCATCCCCTGGACAAGAAAGCGTGCATGGAAAACACATCTGAGGCTGTCCCCTGGGTAAGCCTCCATGTTTTACTCTGACAGCACTACCAGCTAGCTTAAGGGTAAACAGATAAACACAAGTCCAAATCAAAACTTTTGGACCCTGTAAGAGCTACACATGGCATTTCCATGGAAACACAGTTTAAACTACATAGTGTGTGTTGAAAGACAACAAACGTCTGTCCATTTAAAAAATAGAAGAAACTGCCTGTGATTATCAATGGTTTTATACTGTAATTATGGGTAAAAGATGATAACACAAGGTCAGAGGCTTATTTTTAGAGGGCCTTCATTGGTAAATCTGTGAAAAAGTCCAGTTTCTATCTGCGTCCAACAGATTTTTATGCCATTTATCAGGCTGTTGTGTCCCAGCTGTAGATTTTCAAGTATAACTAAGTGTTCTCACTCTGGCTGCAGCCATGTGAGATAAAGTAAGCTTACAGGTCTTAAAATAGCAGGAGGGAACTTTTAGATTGGTTCAGTCCACACGTATGTTTAAAGAAGACCAAAGGCCTTTCTAATGAGCTGGATATGGCGGTCCTGCAGGTCTACAAACAATAATGAGAAGATTCTCTCCCCACACACTCATTTAAAACAAACAGCTGGAACAAACCTGGCTGGTTGTTAGATCTGGGTTTACCCGCAGCTACAGGTTACAGGATGTGTTAACTGTACTTTTTGACTCATTGATAATAATTTAAAAGGTTGTTTTTACTTACATGCACTCAGAGAAAGTGATTTTGTGAAAGGGTAGCAGATGAAGGTCCAGGCAGTATCTCTGGCTTGTTTGCTGTTGTAGTTTTTGGATTTGAAACCCGAAGCGTCCTTTGGCAGATCTGGAGTCTGCCCAAGTCCAGTACAGGACGGGAAGGGCTGTCACCGGAGAACCCAAAGTCATACCAGGGCCAAGTTGAAAAACTCTCTGGGGGGCTAAATATAGGAACAAGTCAGGGTTCAGCACACAACCCCTCCTCCGGTTTGGCTCTGGTGGTCCTCACTCGGGTTGGAGGTCTAGCCTCAACACGTCCTTGTAAGTCAAGCTGTTCATTTAATGTCTCACTTTGAACAAACCCAAAGATTTGGGAGTGAGAAAACCCAAATGACAAAACATTTACAAATTCCAGAATTTAATGCCTCAAAATGTAACATGGCAACAAAGAAATCTTCAAGTGAGACCAAGAACACCTGATTAGGTGGCTCACAGAGTGGAAAAAGCAGGAAAACAGCTGTACTAAAGCAGTTACAGAATTAAAGAAAACATTTCTCCTCCAAGATACAATAAAGGGTGTATTATAAAATATTCTATTGTAATTAAAGACCAAGTCCACTGAGAACTTCACAGAGTTTGTATTTGTTATTGTTGGCATGCGGTTGGCTAGCTGGTAAAACTCCAGGATTAGAAAAGCGTGACAGATCTACGTCACACTGTCACTAACATTCATGGACTCACCCATCTGGACTCACGACGGGGAAGGCTGTTGTTGGTTTAGCGTCCAGGAAACAGCAGGGAATGTCTTGGCTAGTAGAAGCTAACCGTTAGCAACTCCACCACATGGCAGAACTCCTCCAGGCTTGTGTTATTTGTTGAAATAAAACATATATGTTGCAGAGCAGAGTCAGTGGTAGAGTTGTGTTGCTGTCAGCCAATCAGAGGCAAGATCTCCCAATATCAGGAAATAAGAGTCCAGAAACTTCCATATGAAGTTCAGCTGAACTGTGGCTCACTTCTATTTCCTGAAAACTGGTGCGCCAAATCTTTTTTTCCCCATAGTATGACTTACCAGGCGTTCATTCCTACTAGAGACCAGAGACCTACTACAGACCAGAGACCAGATACCTATGCAGTGGAACAGTGGAAGCTGGGATCTGCAGTCGGCCTGAATCTGCGGTTTCCGAGTCTGCAGCAATACCTTCTCCTTGAACCCCAAACCTGTCACTCACAGTTTCTGGTCAGCAGAGGGCTGCAAAGTGCTTTCCTGTGTGAAGCCGTGCACGAACCACTGAAACCAGTTTGAAAGCATTAGCTTATTCTGCTCTCTCTACCTATTCCACCTTCCCCAGGATCCACTGGTTTCCCTCTTTCCCATTCACTCTCTCTCTCTCTTTCTTTACATTTTTTAGTCACTTGTCTATATTTATATTTAAAATATATTTTTAATCATTTTTCTAAATTCTTTTTTATATTTTACGTTTTTGTTTTTGTGAAGCGCCTCGTGATTTTTATCTTGAGAGGCGCTTTAGAAAAGATCTTTTCTTTTCTTCTTCTTGGAGTGTTAAATAGTCTTTTGTGTTGCTTTAACATTTTTAAGGAGTGTCAAATTGAAAAATTGTTTTGAAATTTCTACTCCAAAACCTCAGTATCCTATGGACAAAATGCAGAATTTGAATTTAAATAAAGAAAAGGTCTGGACCAGGTCAGAGGTCACCCCCACCCCCAAGCCCTCATTGAGAATAAGAAGTTACCTGCAGACATCTTTAGAAATATGTGACACTTCCATGAAACAGGGACTAAACATCAGAATTAAGGCTAAATTGTTCTTAAATCCCAACAATCTAATAAATAAAATCTCACAAGTGGCAACAAGAGGTCAGCAAAACACAACAGTACCATCAAAGTTGAATGAACATTTCTAATGACGTTCATTTTAAAGTTAATGACTATTTGAGACACCTGCAGCAGTCAAACAAATGGTTTCCTGTTTCTATCAGGTCATCTTCCATTTTAAATTCATCAACAGAAGTTTGAAAATATTACACAGATGTCAGGGAAAAGAAAGTTTCCAACTGCGTTTGAATCGTAACAAGTCTAAGCTTCTCCAGCTCTGTAACACCTGAAAGACTTGCTGATGAGAATGGAGTGTGACACTATAACAACCAGGTTTCAAATCTGGTTTTTATGCCTTCAGGTATCAAACATTGTTCATTTAGAGGGTTTTGGTTGTTTTCGCTTTTTCACCGCTTCATTAGTCACTGTCACGGTTCACCAAATGTTGAAAATAATCACATATGACTACTGGTGAAACTCATAATTAAAAAAAAGTTTTTAGAACTCAAATGTGTGGAGTTAGTTCAGTCTGTTCCTTGTTTTAAGTACATATAACTCAAAGTTTTTAATTAACCGAACAATGTCTTATTTATTGAGCGTAACTTCAATAAATCAATAAAGAACAACTTCACTTGAATGGGTTAACAAAAAATTTAAATTCATTATTTTATGTTTCTATGTTATTCTGTTTGTCTTTATGCCAACTTAAAGTGTGTCTGATAAACAGACATATACATATTTGTTTTTTAATTTTTTCAAGATTTTAAGGTTCTCTTAATGATTTTCAAGTGTCCTAACGGTCTTGGGCCTTATTATCTTTCGGAACTGCTTTTACCTTACGAACCATTGCTGCCTCTGTGTTTCTCTGGCAGCCATCTCCTTGTGATTCCAAAAGTCAGGACACATACCCAAGGTGTCCTTCCAATTTTATGGTCCTCGTCTCTGGAACAGGCTGTCAGGGCCGTAGAGAAGGTTCTTGTTTTTCAGAGCAGGCTTAAGGCTCACCTTTTTACCATAGCTTTTAATTGATATCTGTTTTAGCTGAATTGCTGGTTTTATTTTTATTGAATGATTTATATTTTAGTTTTATTAGACATTCATGTCTTAGTGTTTTACTATCTTTTAATCACTTTTTTTAATTTTACTATCCATATTAGTTCTTATTATTTTTATGCATCTCAGGCCCTGTCCACACGTAGCCGGGGATCTGCCAAAACGTAGATATTTTTCTACGTTTTGGCCTGTCATCCACACGAAAACGGAGTTTTTTCACACGAAAACGGATCTTTTTAAAAACTCCGGCCAAAGTGAAGATCTGGGTTTTCTCCGTTTTGGGTGTCTGCGTGTGGACAGACAAAACCGGAGTTTTAAGGTCTGCAACATCACTTTCCGTGACAAAAAAATGCTGACATCACGTGTGCGACCTGTGTTTACACTTGCCGACATCATAGATGCTCCCAGAGCTGCGCTCGCTTTATCAACTGTCCAAGCGCTTTTTGCTTGTTTGTTTTTGCAAGTGGAATTACTGCTCCTTGCGGAAGACCACAGACGAAGGACGAGGTTAAGAACGGGGGAAGTACTGCCGCCTACAGGTCTGGCATGTCCTTAACAACGTATTTATCCGGGTACGTGTGGACAGAGTTTGTTTTTTAAACAAGGTGGTGCGGATGCAAGTTTTTGGAGGGGCGGATATTCGTTTTAAAAAAAAACCCGGCTACGTGTGGACTAGGCCTTATTTGTTCATGCAAGTGTTTTCCTCTGTGGGGCCCTCTGCCTCGGGGGGGGGGGGGGGGGGGGGGGGGGGGGGGTCGACTGTGGTGGCCTGGGCACACCTCAGGGAGTGCTATGAGGGTGGTGGGGGGTTTTGCCCTACCTCCCTGGTAGCCCTGTGTTGGTGCCTTGGCTGCTGCGGTCGATCGACTACTACCGAGGCAGATGGCTCACCTGACGGCGTGCCATTCGTTACCTAACCCACCTGAACTCGTCCTAGTGTTTACTTATGATATATTTTTTATTTTGTTAAGTTTTGTGTGTGTGCATGTGTGTATTTGTTGTTCGCGTGTGTGTGTGTGTGTGTGTGTGTGTGTGTGTGTGTGTGTGAGTGTTTGTGTTTGGGTGCCTGTTCCTTAGGAAATGGGTTGTGTGATTTTTTTTTTGGGGGGGGGGGGGGTTGCAAATGTCATAATCATTTTTATATTTTTGGGGAAATGATGGGATTGTGGGTTATATGGGGTGATTTAAACCTGTAAATACTTTGAGCTGTATATTTTGTATGTGAAAAGTGCTATACAAATAAAGTTTGATTGACTGAAAATATTGTGGATCTATAAGAAAAAATAACCAACAGTTTTGGTGGATTTCAGGAACAATAAAGAACTGGTGGGCGAGGTGCATTGTGGGTAGTTAGTTGTTTTGTCTTATGTTGGGGTGTTTATGCATATTTATTGTGGGGGATTGTTGTTCTTCATTCAGTGCTGCAAACGTGGTGTTAGGTATTGTATCATGTTGGTACCATAAGTGAGGAGGTTGGCCACGGGAATGTCAACGCTGTGCCGTTCCACATTAACAGTGGTGGTTCACACCAGATGTTCTTGACTTGGCTTTGGGTGTCCCACTCTCACTGACTGTCACAAGTGCTGGTGTTAGCTTCTGCTTTCACCTGCTTGTCATTTTAAGTAAATTCAACTTATCTGGGTTAAGGTACAGAAGTTAAAAATTCTAAGTATTCAATTCTTCATTTAGATTAGTAACACAAACTAAGAATGCCAAGAAGAGAGTACCCAGGAATATATATATATATATATATATATTTAACTTAAAACTTTGTTTGACTTAAAAATATTAATCTAAACCAGCAAAATAAAGTGTGTTTTTTCAATTATGTCATTAACTAAAACTTTTGAGCTATATCACCTTATCAAGTTTTACAGTAATAGTTAAATAATTTTTTATTTGTTTATTTCATTCAAAATATAAACAAATAAAACATATTAACAATGAGATATACATAACAACAAAAAAACTCATTTGAATGAAAAGGAGCAGAATGAAGAAAAACATCTTTTAATTTCTGCCCCCTTTGAAAAAATCTATACAATTTCCGTATGTCAGACACGCATACAGATTAATTTAGAACTTTTTCTTGTTCTTAATTCAAGAGCGATCATGATCATTGATTTAATTTACATTTTCATAATTACTTAGCACACTCAATTTGGTTCATTTTTTGAATATATTAAGTATTTTTGAGTTTCTTTGAGTTCATACTGAGTTTTTTTTATTTCCCTTTTAAGGTTATTCCGTAATTTAACACCATTTACAGACATATTCCATTCCTTAATTTTAGTTCTAAATCTAGGCTTCATAAACACATCAGTTTCTTTCAGCATGTAATTGCTAGTTCTCTTTTCAAATATCCCCTGAACGTTTGCTGGCAGAGTACTTAAACTGGCTTTATAGATAGTTTGTAAGATTTTCCAGTCTTTTAAATCATGAAACTTCAGTAATTTATATTTAATAAACAACATTTTTTATGGATCCCTACAGCCTCTATAATTGATGATTCCCAAAGCTCTTTTCTGTAAAATAAATAGGGGTTGTGTATAGTTTTTGTATGTTGCTCCCCAGATTTCTTCACAATAAGTCAAGTATGGAACAATCAGTGAATTGTACAATGCCAACAAACCAGAATTAGTCAGTAGTCTTTGGTTTTATTCAGGTCATATTTTTTAAGTTATGGTGAACGTACAGTTTTTAGGTAAGTGCATTTAAAAATTATTATGCTAAATAATTATATGCTATAATAATCATAATTATTAACTTAAAAATCAGTTTTCTCATTAATTTTGAGTTCAGGTTTGCAGTGTTTGGGTCATGGGAGCAGCAGCCCTGCGAGGCAGCTTCTCAGGTGGGACCCCAAAGCCAACCAACAATCCCTCCAGCATATCCCACATCTCACCTGGGGGTCTCCTATCAGAGGGACATGCCTGGATCATCTCAGCTGCCTCCTTTCGATGTGGAGGAGCAGCGGCTCGAGTCCTTACCCAAAGCTCATGACCAATTTATGTCCCGCTTCACTTCTTTGCTCTTTAATCAGTAAAAAGTGTTTCCCAATTCATCGGTCAGATTGAAACCAATCCCAGAACTGTAAAAATCCAGGTTCATCCAGTTTTGTAATGGATTAGTCAGCAAAAATGGTATTTTAAAGTCTCTTTCTGGAGTATTTCTCTTATCCGATGCCACCATCTAGTGGCTGACAAGCATATCACACAAATCATTTCTCCTTCAGTTTTTTAAAGAAGTCATGCTTCATGTTTCTGTTTATAAAAGTGCTTCTGTAGCCGACAAACAGCTGAAACACGCTGTTTTACCAGTATTATTCTCATGTCATGTTGTGTTCTCATATAGTTATATTTTAGAGACTTTCTTGTCCGTGAAAAGTTCACCAACTCTGCATCCGCCGAGGTATTCCTTAAATATGAAGCAAGTAAGCGGTAGTCTAACGCTATTGGTTATTTCTGGTCGGCGCTCAGTTTCCTATTGCACGGAGCTCTGCGGGGCAGGGGCGTGCTTAGCACAAAATAAAAAAGATGTATTGCTTACATTTTATCACAGTACATGATAATATAATCACTTTTATGGATTTCTGACAAATCATCCATAATTTCTGAAAGGGGAAAACTCTGGAACGCAGCTTTAAGTCAGTTCAGCTGAAAGCTTATACGGCAGCCGTTACAGAAATCAGGTGCACACAACAGAAATGAGCATTATCCAGCAGGAAAGCTTTTACTGCTAAATGTTTAACCATGAATGGTTCTTAGTGAGAAAAGCATGTTGTCTGACGAAAAGGAGTGCCAGGGTTAGGGTTAGGGTTAGGGTTAGGCCTCTGATCCACATGCACACATTGATTCCCTGAGCTGCGTGAGTGCACCTCTGTAGCACCATTGTGCACGCCTCCCACAGGGTCTCCTAGTTTATGAGGCACCGCTCACACCAATCCCTTCAGCCTCGGCCCCACTGCACATCTCTACTTCGGTGGTCTTCAGTCAGCCCTATGACAGCAGATGCATGCACCTTTGTTTCCTAAACAACGGAGAAACAACCAGCTGACTCTCAAAGACACAAAAGGCAGAAGAGGCAAAGTGGAGGAAATCACCGCTGTTGACGTGCGGGAACAGGAGTAGGGTCTTTCTCTGGAGCCAGTTAATTAAGACGTGTGTTTTTCTTACTTTTCCAAGTGAATGACTATTAACAAAAGAGGAGAGTCTTCTCCTCATTAAGGTAATGGAGTGGGAACAGACTGGTGACTGGGTTAGATGAGCAGTGACATGCAGAAAGGCCTCCAGGGGTTTAGGGAGTTAGGGGAAGAGTGAGGTAGAGGTGAGCGCATCAGGAGCTGATTGGCACGACAGCAGATGATAAAAAGCCCTGGCTCGTGCTGCCGGATCCATTAGGAGATCGCTCAGGTCCGAGGAACTCACAGTGACAGGCACCAGGGTTCCCGTTAGACAATACTAAAACCTCCCCGCTAAAACAAAAGCTCGTTAGACAGAAAAGTCTGTTCTTGTTCTTTCTGTTCCCACTGGGAGTCAGCGGTGAGATGATCCCTCTGTGGAGAAAGTCACACAGGTGAGTTCATCCAAAACACAGGAAGCCGCCGTGGAGGCTGGCAGGACAAAGATTTGTCATTTAACCTGTTTTTCTCCCTGAGATGTTCCTAAAACTGACTCAGTCATTACATCTGGTCTCTGGCTTTATCACTCGGGTCTTGGCTGTAAGAACATGAGATGTTGTTGATTGTTGTAGAGAATGAATGAGTGAAAGTAAAGAGAAACGTTTTACAGTGGTACTTTTTGTGAGTGATGCAGTTGGTCAAGTGCTAAAGACCTCTCTGATGCTAATATCTTCAGTAGATGACAAACTTTTAAAGATGCTTCTTATTTTTTGCTCTCGTAAATTGCAAGAGATGATTGTCAGGAAGTTGAGTTTCCGTTTGAGGCGGCTTTCCCTCCTGTGGAGGAGTTTAGGGATCGTGTTCACTCGTGAGGGAGCAGTAGATGGATGATTAACACATTTTTGGTGAAAACCAGAACATTTCAGCCAGTTCTGCGGGGGAAACCCCATGCACCTCAGGTAAAAACTTGGAAAACTGCTAAAACAAAGGTTTTAATTATCAACACAAAGACATTTTCATGTCATTAGGTTGCACTGAGCTACTTCAGATGAGCTGCAGAGCCACATGTGGCCCTGGAGAGAAGGTTGCAGACCCCTGGGTCAGTCTGACTTCCATCCCGCGTGTGTCTAAAACACCTCTCATCCTTCAGGAGGACGAGCCTGGTGCTGAGCTGGCTTCTGATCTGGACCTCTCTGCAGCCACTCTCCCATAACTACGTGTCAGCAGTCAACCTGCGGCGTTTCATTGGTTGTGCCGTCCGAGAGTTTACCTTCCTGGCTAAGAAGCCTGGTTGTGGAGGCCTGCACATCACTACTGATGCCTGCTGGGGGCGCTGTGAGACATGGGAGGTGAGGAGGGGGGAGGGCAGTAACTCCGCTGCAGAGAGGAGGGAGGAGACGAAAGCAAACTTCCAGCAAAAAGGCAATCAGCCTGCTGTTTTTAGGGATGACCGTAAGCAATCAGAGGAAACTCAGTCAGTTTCACGGTGCTGGCAGAAACAAGTGCTGTGGATGGAAGGAGGGATGGGGTGGCTGTTCCCGGATGCAGAGGTCAGATGAGGGTCATGTGAGACAGCAACATACAGCAGGAGTCTAGACAAACACAGACCGGCAGAGACAACTGTGTTCTTCTCTCTGTAACGAGCAGCTGGTCCACATCTCGAGCTGAGGCAAACAACTGGTTAACTTTCACAAAAACAAGTGGAAAGTGCAAACCGGAGATTAAACAACAGCCTCGGTTTCCTTTGCTATGCTTCAAGAGCAGACAAATAAAAATGGGATCTCTGTTAACGGAGTTACATAAACGCATCACAACAGCATCCGTCTCCGTCTCTGCAGATGCTTGATCAGCTGGGACGTGTTGGGCAGAGCTCTGACTAAACAGGAATTCTTCCAAAAACCTCACATGGTGGAGACTTCTGTCCATGTGGACACATGGTTCCTCCTGCTGGAGGTGTTTTAGCCTTCTCAAAAGAAAGTGGATGAAGATATGTTTTTTATAAATAAATAGCCTAAATCGGTTACCTTTGACACTTTCAGGTTTGCTGAGACAGCATAGCATAGCATAGTTTATTTATATAGCACATTTAAAATGCAGCATGGGAGCTGCCCAAAGTGCTGCACAGGCTAAAACAAAACACACCCATTACAAGGAGCTAAAACAGAGGATAAAAATCTCAATCAAAGGCAGATAAACCATGATGAATACTAAAATTACATTAAAACAATGATACAATAAAACACTAAAACGAGTCACTGTCTAAAAGCCAAAGTGTAAAAGTGGGTCTTTAAACGAGATTTATAAACCGCCAGAGGCGGAGCCTGCCGAACTCCAGTGGGTAACGAGTTCCATAGCTTTGGGACAGCATGCACAAATGCTTGATCCCCCCGCGATTTGAGTCTCATCCGCGGCGTGTACAGCAGCGAAAGGTCAGCCGACCTCAACGTGCGGGTGGGCACATATGGAGTGAGAAGGGCAGAGCGGTAGGGAGGTGCGAGGTCGTTGAGTGCTTTAAAAACAAAAGTCAGTAACTTAAACTGCACTCTGAAAATGACAGGGAGCCAGTGAAGAGTGACAGGACAGGGGTAATGTGGCTACGTCGGTGTGTACCTGTCAAGAACCTGGCAGCAGCATTCTGAACAATCTGCAGCCGATTCAGGGCAGAGTCCAGAACACCAACGAGGAGGGCGTTTGCATAGTCCAGGCGAGAGGTAATGAAGGCACGAATGACTTACTCCCAATGCCTCAGTTTCAGGATTCACATCAGATCAGTAAATGTACCTGTTAAATGACTCCGTTTTCTTTCTTTTTTTTTTTAAGACAAACGTTTTGCAGGTTTGAAGATGTTTATCTCATACCTGCCGACAGTTTCGACTGAAAGCTTCAGTTTTCCTCAGAGCGTCATCTCTACACTTCGCTGTTGTGTCATTTATCAGCTGGTCTGGGAGCGTTGTTGAACCACGCCCCCAGACCAGCTGGACCTCCCTCTCGCTGGCTCTGGAGGATGGAGTCCCAGGTGTGTGATGGGGTGCACGCCCCCTCATCCTGGCTGATGGTGTTGCTGCCTCATCTGCGGATCTCCACATCAAAAACTCTGTCATCTACTTGTCCATCCAAAAGACAAGATAGGGCCGGATAAAAAAAATGCAACATCATATATGAAATACCACACAATCCATGCAAGAAACATACATAGGGGAAACAGGAAGGACCTACAGTACACAAAAGAAGGAACATCTAACAGAGTGTGAGAGGGAAACAAGGGGACATTTGACCAGAACACAAAAGAACACAGCTGAACAGGAGACCAAGAAATCAGCCATAACAGGTCACTGCAGGAGGACGAACCACATCATGGACCTGGACAATGCAAGAATCATCACATCTGAAAACAACAGCTTCAAACGATGGATCGAGGAGTCCTGCGAGATCCGGAGGCAGCAACACCATCAGCCGGGATGAGGGGGCGTACACCCCATCACACACCTGGGACTACATTCTCCAGAGCCGGCGAGAGGGAGGTCCGGCTGGTCTGGGGGCGTGGTTCAACAACGCTCCCAGACCAGCTGATAAATGACACAACGGCCAAAACTCGGATGACGCTCTGAGGAAGACTGAAGCCTTCAGTCGGAACTGTCGGCAGGTATGAGACAAACATCTTCAAACCTGCTAAACGTTTGTCTTAAAAAAAGAAAATTGAGTCATTGGATTTATAACAAAGACAAAATGAACTTTTTAAATCTAACATGTACCCGTTGTTTTTTCCAGAAGCCCATCCTGGAGCCGCCTTTCATCGAGTCCTACCAGCGGGTCTGCACCTACAACGCCTCGCGTTTAGTCCACGTAAGACTCCCCAACTGTAAGCCCAACGTGGACCCCATCTACACCTACCCTGTGGCCCTGAGCTGTTCCTGTGGGGTCTGTCTGACGAGCACCACTGAATGCATCACGTCTGTGTGAACATGTACCAGATTTGTGTTTTTGTTTTCTTGCTCATTAGATTTAGTTTTTCAGTCCTGTCACATTGTCCGCAATTAAAATGCTAACGGCTTCTTTACTTCATTTTTCAAAAGTAAAACTAAATCCTTTAGTTGTGTTACTACCAATCAGTTTTAGTTCATTTCTAATATGAGAGGTGCGTTTAAAATGCTGCTTTTTATCTCAGAGATTATAAGTTCTGTAATAAACCGGTTTGGTCTGCTTCTCGTGATGTTACGTTTGCAAGAAACATGATTCACCTCCATTTAACCCTCCCACTGCCTTTATGGGTGACCCCACCAGGAAAGTTGACCACTGAGCAGGGTTGATGGTTTATCCCTTGGGTCCACGTGGCAGGGGTGAGGTGGTGCGCACTCCTCACCCCTGCCACATGAACCTAAGTGATAAACCATCAACCCTGCTCAGTGGTCAACTTTCCTTGCAGAGTCACACCCAATAGGACAGTGGGAGGGTTAAAGCCACTTAATTTTGTTCCTGCAGTGGTAACTCCACTTATCTGTGTATTTGATAAGCGCTTAACCCTGTAGTGGTCCAGAGACCCTGCTTGGTTATGTAGAGGAATGGATGACAACAATGAGATGATCCAAAAAAGATTTCTGAATGCAGGAAGAGAATAAAAAGCCTCTGGTGACACTGATTTCTACAAAAAGAAAATATTCACTAAGAACTGATGACAAAAATATCATAACTATCGTGCATATCCATCAATACTAAACCAGGGAGAGTGTGTTGACGGTTTGATGAGAATATATCGTGCTTGAAATGGAAGGGGAACCCAGAAGTCAGAAGTCCTCCTTGTCCTTGATGAATGAATGAAAGATTCTGATTAAATACTTTGTTTTCTACATTGTTGAATGTGCTGACAACAAAATCCCACAAAAATGATCAATGGAGATCAAATGTATCAACCCAAGGAGGTCTGAATTAGCACTCACACTCACACTCACCTTTTTTTATTTCATTCAAAAATTATAATAAACACAAACAAATAATAAACATATTAAAAAACAGATTTGAATGAAAAGTAGGAGATAGAAGAAATAATTGTATAATTTCTGCCCCTTTTTACAAAAGATCTGTCAAACATACACAATATCATAACCTCGGTCACTTTCTAATTTTTATATATCATCGTTGACATTTTAATTTACATTTTCATCATAATTTAATACATTTGATTTTATACATTTTTTAAATATAGCAAGTGAGCTTGATTCTTGAATTTCCCTGTTAAGGACATTCCATAATCTTACACCACTTACAGAAATATCACATTCCTTCATTTTGGTTCTGAATTTAGTTTTTTAAACACATCAGTTCCTTTTAACATGTATGCACTCACTCTCTTGTGAAATGTGTTCTGTATGTTAGTTGGTAAAGTACTTGTATTTGCTCTGTACATTAATATTTTCCACTCTACCAGGTCAGGAAATGCCAGTATTTTATAACCATTGAGTAATGGACTAGAGTGATCTCTATAGCTACTGTTATTAATGATCCTCAATGCTCTTTTTTGTAGAGTTAGCAAAGGTTGTCTAAAGGTTTTACATGTGGTTCCCCAAATTTCTACACAGTAAACTAATTATGGTTCAATCAATGAGTGGTACAGAGCGAATAATCCAGAACAAAGTAGTAGAAACTCGACTTTACTGTATACCAAACCATTTTTTTTTTTACTTTTATCAGTTCACTGTTTATCACTTGAGTTACTTCATGCATGTTTAATTCTGAATAAAACAATGTGGTATCATCTGCAAATAAAACTATACCAAGGAGATTTGATGCATTTATAAGGTCTTAATAAACAATATGAACAGTTTAGGTCCGAGGACTGACCCTGTGGCGCTCCATAATGAACATCACTAACTTCAGAACAAACTATTGTCTAAATAACTATTAAGCCGGGCTGCGCAGTGGTGCAGCGGTTAGAGCTGTTGGCTTGCAGCGAGAAGGTCCTGGGTTCGCTTCCGAGCCTGGGGTCTTTCTGCATGGAGTTAGCATGTTCTCCCTGTGTATGCGTGGGTTCTCTCCGGGTCCTCTGGCTTCCTCCCACAGTCCAAAAACATGACTGTCGGGTTAATTGTTCTGTCTAAATTGTGTGTGTTAGTGTGTGTGTGAGTGTGTGTGTGTGTGTGTGTGTGTGTGTGTGTGTGTGTGTGTGTGTGTGTGTGTGTGTGTGTGTGTGTGTGTGTGTGTGTGTGTGTGTGTGTGATTGTTTGCCCTGTGTGTCTCTGTGTTGCCGTGCAATGGACTGGCTCTCTGTCCAGGGTGTACCCCACCTGATTGCCCATTGCCCACTGGAGATAGGCACCAGCCCCCCCCCCCCCCCCCCAACCCTACATGGACAAGTGTTTTCAGAAAATGGACGGATGGATGAAACTATTAACCCATTGATGAGCCACACCTCTTATTCCATATTGATGTAATTTCTGGATGACATTTCTCTTTTCTCTGTCTTCCCTCTGCCCCGGGGGCGGTGGTCGACTGTTGCTTCCTGGACGCTCTACAGGTAGTGTTTAAGTGGAGGTGGGGGTCTATGCTCCCCCTCCTCTGAGCGCCCTGACTTAGTGTAGAAGACCTGATGCTGCCGGGGCAGACGGCTCCCCCGATGGCGTTTCCTTGCATTACCTTACTTGGCTCATCTGGACTCAGCCGAATATAAATTTTTACTGGTGTGTGTGTGTGTGTGTGTGTGTGTGTGTGTGTGTGTGTGTGTGTGTGTGTGTGTGTGTGTGTGTGTGTGTGTGTGTGTGTGTGTGTGTGTTTAAACTGTTATGGGGATTTGGTGTCATTTTGTAAAACACTTTCAGTAGCACTTTGCTTGAAAAGCACTTTATAAAAAAAACCTGATTGATTGACTTCAAATGCTTTCTTAAGTCAATAAAAATACTTTATACTAAATAGTACATATTTAGTGAATCCGTTACTTTGTTCCTATATCCACACTGTTCATGGTTTAAAATGATTTATGTATTATTTATTTATTTGTGTATTTTAGTTTAGTTTCTTTTAGTTTTTTCATCAATTTATCCAACCTTGATGAAAACACTTTTTCCAATATCTTGGAAAACTGTAGAATCAGTGACACTGGCCTATAGTTAAAGTGAAAAGCACACTAGACTGATGCAATGTCCTTAAAACAAATTAAAACTGAGTCTCAGTAGTGTGTGTGGCCTTCACATGCCTGCATGACCTCCCTACACCTGGGCATGCTCCTGATGTACTGGCTTGTCTTCTTGTAGCGCCTCCATGGTCTGGACTCCACACTGACAGACACAGAAAGCCTTCTTGCTACAACTTGGATCTTGGATGAGCTGCACTACCTGAGCCACTAGTGTGGGCTGTCGACTCCGTCTCATGCAACCACTAGAGTGAAGGCACTGCCAGCATTCAGCAGTGACCACGTGGCCTGGTTTATGGTTTTTCTTTGCTCCTGATAGAAGGATTTCAAGTTTGCCGAGCCATTTTTCTTCTGCTGTTCGCCGTGTCTGGGTCGATGACGTCAAATTGGTGAAGCGCATTTGTAGCCCTGAACTTTTCACACAAAACCTAAGATAACGTTTCCCCCTTTCAAAAAGAAGTGTGTTCTTGGTATCAGAACATGTCTTTGAAATCCACGGCACATAACAAGCTGAATTAGAAAATGGCGTTTTTAGCCCCGTTGATTTGCGTTCATTTTTTTCGTTCTTCCGGGGACCTGTGGTCTGGAAGTAGATGGGCGTGGCTTAGGCTCTCTTTAAAACTCCAAAACCTGTAGTCTGAAGATCAGCTGTAACGTGGCTCACGTCTAGTTCCTGGAATTATTGCACCAGAGCTTTTTTTCCCCCAGAATACGACTTACAAGGCATTCATTCCTATTAGAGACCACTGCAAATGTATTTAAATACGGGTAAAGGTAACTCACCCTAACCCTAGGTGGATCTTTGTCCGAATTCCAAGGCCACACATGTCAGAACAGCGAGGACCAGGCTGCATTATGAGTAGCTGTTTCCCATGGGAGAGTATATGTACTCTGTGTACTTTCACTGTACCTACAGGTTAGTTATAATACCTCGACTGTCCTTGTATATAACAGAGGAAGAGGGTTAACATGTCCCTGTGATGGACTTATGGTCTGTCCAAGATGTCCCCCCGGTGTCTCGCCCACTGGCTACTGCTCCTGCACCCCGACTCAGAACTAAGTGGTTAAATAATGAATGAAGGAAAGCCACCACTGGGGCTTGTTATTGTATACACACACCCAGTACTTAGATGGTATTATTAGGGTTGCTGTAGGATACCTCTGGGGTACCTACAGGGGCACTTAAAGTGTACCCATGTGAGATCAGGATCAAGTGCTGATTTAGCAGTCAGGCCTTGAGGGCATCTATTCCCAGCGTGCCACTGTTATAACAGTGTGACAGGTACCTGCTGTGGTGATGAATTATACAGCAGCTCCAGCCGCGGAGGTGAGATGGCGAATCTGTGAGGAGGATCAAGCTGTAATGGAGGAAATGACAGCAACACAGAAAGTGTTTGTGGAGAAGAAATTTGGCCAACTCTTTGTTACGGGAACAGATGTTTCAGTTCATCTGAACACCGACTTAAAACAGTTTTTACTGAGCAAGTCTTTTCTTCCTCCCAGTGATGGAGCACAAACATGCTGTCTGCATGGGCTTGTCCTCAGAGGAAGCTTCAGTAAATCCCATTTAACGGTAGATAATTGCTGTTACTAATTAATCTAATAGAAACACGAGCCAGGAGACTTACGCATCAGCTTCAAATCCTAGACTGAAGCATGCATTAAAAGACCAGAAGACATCTGTATTGTTCTACTGTTTTACTTTTACACTTTCTTCTTGATTAAATGTGTGCAGATTCCCCTCTGGCTACAGTCTGTGGGCCTATCAGCTTCAAATACCACCTACCTACTGAGAAGAGCATGAGGAGTGATGGTGGGGTCACAGCACACCCACCTGCTCCACAGGTAGTGAAACAATAATGTCACTTCCTGATCAGAAGGGCACTTCCCTACCGAGTCACCACTGAGTTATAGAATCCCACTGAGGCCAAAGTCAGTACTGAAGGAGAGAAACATTTTATTTCTAAATGACTCCAGATGGCAAAAGAACAAAAACGTGAATACAGCATAATTCTGTTGTACGTCTCACTCCCCCGTGAAAATATGAATCATCGTTGTCATTTTTTACTTGGAGGTAGTTAAACTGTGTTTGGATGAAAAGAAGCTAGTTTGGTCAGGAAGCATGAACTCATCATATCTGCTGTCATTAGAGGAAT